CTCGCTCCCGCCCACCACGCGCTCTGCGTCCCCGTGGCCCCGGCGGAGGGGAGGTGCCCGGCGCGCCGGTCCGGGTGCGCGTCTTCTACACGAGTCGCCAGCAGTCGGTGAGCATCGTCGTCACCACGGCCGAAACGCTACAGACTAGCAAGCTGTCCGACCCCACGGGGCTCTGCGAGGAGGCCTGTCCTCTCCCCGCGCTGTGAGTCAGTCCGTCGCAGGCACAGGGGGCCCCGACCCCCCGCGGGCGGCAGCGGGACAGTAAGTTTCCTCCGGGAAAGCGAAGGCACCGCCGAGGCTCAGACCTTGTAGTAAATGTTGGCCGGGCTCTGCGGGGGCATCTCCTGGACTATGTACACCGGGTGCCCGTAGTCCCCGCTGACCTTCTCGTAGTGGGGGCAGAAGACGCTGTCCGCAGTCCTCAGCGGGATGATAATGTCACTGGGCTCCGAGCCGTTGTTGTTGCCGCCGCGCTTGGGCGTGGCCAGCGTGCTGAGCGACAGCGTGGCCGTGTGCTGCGGGGAGTGCTTGCGGTGTCTCCGCCGGTACTTGAGCAGCAGGACCACCAGCGTGATGATGATGACGATGAAGATGATGCATCCTGAAGCAATCCCGGCGAATAAGGCCACTTCGGAACCGAGGATATTGTTCCCAGAATGTCCGGCGCTGTTGCCGTCTGTGCTGGACCCTGCGGGGCGGGAAGAAGGAAGCACAGCAGTCACCTCTGAGCCCGGGGCTGGCCGGCTGCCTGCAGGGCCCCTCAGACGGGAACGCTGAGCAGGGCCTCTCCAGACCTCCCTGGCGGCCAGATGCTGGCAAACCGAGCACCTCCTTTAAGAGCAAAATGCAGAAGCCAGAAATATGGGAGACATGACTCCCGGTCAGAGCAGACCCCACGGCTTCTTTTCTACACGTCATCATCCTTCAGCCTCGAGGACGGGCTGTGACAGCCAGCCCTTGACCTTGTCTCACGTCTTAACCCACGTCGGCTGGCCTGTGGCCACCACAGGGAGCAGGAGGAGGGTGGGGAGCAGCCAGTGCCACACCACCTGCCTTTAAAGACAAGCCCTGCCTACCCGCAGATCCGCTCCAGGACTCACGGGGAGGATGGGGCCTGGGAAAGTATTCAACCCGAAACTCGTTTGTATTATTTGATTTACACTTAAAGTATATTTGGAAGGCAGCAGAAACTCTCACACAGAACAGACTGCCAACCCAAATGTTCAGTACTAAAAAATTGCCTGGCATCATTATATTACCCATTTATCAGTTTGTCATAAGGATTTGACACATCTTGTCATTGAAAGTTAGAAATAACAACTTCCCTCCTTGACGCTGGGAAAGAGATGGAATTTTGCTGCAGACTCTACGTTCGTGCGACTACCAGCCAGGCCTGTGGATCCCGGCTGCGGCTGCTGACGTCTGCTCTGCGGCCACGACATAGAAAATTCACTTGTGTGGTAACAAATACATAGCTATTTGTTCAAAGACTGCAAAAAATGAAGTTAAATGACAGCCAACTGTATCCTGTATTTTAAACTTTTGCCAGGAATTCGCTTTATATTTTATCTTATACTGAAAATGTGAAAAAAGAACTTCTATGAAACCACCCAAAAAATGTGGTATTGTGCAATGTTTTAAGACATTACCATCTTAAACGTAGAAGAGGATTAATCAGGCGCTTTGTGGATTAGGTATAATTAGATGAGGCATTAGAACCTTAATTATATATACATTAACACTGACTTGAAGCTAGCGTTGCAACCAGAGCAGTAACCTGTCAGCCAACGAAAACGACTTTGATCTGCAAGAGCAGCGTGAACAATCAGCACTTAGACCTGATGAGTTTGACTCTCTGAGTGTACGACTTTTGTGGGAACGAGTTATTTTGTTCTGACTGAGTAATTAATAGCAACCAACCAAGAGCAAAGATCACTGACTCTCCTCACTACAAGGTGACCCTCTGACGCAGAAGCACTCGGACCCCGTGCTGCCCCTACAGCGCCAGCCGGGTGGCCCACACCGACCGAGACCCGCGCGTATCACGCTGCCCTACCTGGGTTTGGTTTGACAAAAGGACTTGTTGTTGAACTTCTTCCATTTGTCCCAGCTTCTAGTTCTGGGCGTCTTGTTGGATCATTATGCCTGGTTGACCCAGCGGAACTTGCATCTATGTGAAAAACAAACGATTACTCACAGCCCAGACAGCTGATGGGGTCTAGCTCTAGGAGCTGGATGTGTATCTCAAGAGGCATGAATAGCAATGAGCATAAGATTCTTTATGCAAAGTACTGCGAGATGTAGGAATATAATTTTCCTTTTAAAACAAAACGCTTATACTAGTTATTTCAGAGGTTTAGATTGTGAGGCCATCTGTGGAAGCTATAGGGATTCTTGCATTTGGCAGGCAGAGCGTTGCAGATGACATTTCAATTTAACTGAGCAAGCTGACTGACTACTATCCCAATCTCTAATTAGAAGAATAATTCTTTCTGCAAAATAGGTCACCTCTAGGTGGAGAGGCTCAGTGAACACATGTCTTCTGTAGTCATGAGGCAGAAATGGGCAAAATGGCAGAAACTTAGTTATCGCTCTGGATATTTAAATTTTGAACCAAAGAGGTGTCTTGCTTTTAAGAAGAAAGCATCTATCTGTGTATACGTACATGGCAACAGACATTGTACCTGGCCGACCTCAACTTTTAGAACTGTCTCCAATAAAAGAAGTGTCACATCAACTGAAGGAGGAAATGTGTCAGTGGCTCAAGGGATGGAGAAAGGTTTGCTTTCGAAACTACACTGGAGAGCGAGGGGAGGCGCGCGCCAGCCATGCTGGCGCCGCTCTCGCTGGGGGCTCAAGCCGGCTACAGTGGCTTCGTGAAGCGGCGGGCGGTCTTTACCTTGTCCAACTTTCATGAGGATCTTCATGGCTCTTGTCTGGCACACCCCTCCCTCCTGGTTATCCAGGCCCTCCAAAGACCCATTTGATGTAGCTGATTAAAAATAAAATGGACAAAACAAAAAAATAAAGAAAAAATCAGGAAATCAATAAGCCAAGTTTACATGAACATGAAATGTCTGAAAGCAATTTGAAAAATAAGAATTCACTCTTAGTCACAAGTTTTCTGAACGTATGGGATGCTGAAAGGCAAAAAAAGAAAAACAGAAAGAAAGAAAGAAAGATGGATACAGTGTCAACACTGCCGGACGGATGACCTCTGGTTTCCAGTGTACTTAAGTGCTCTCTCCTCCCTTCATGATCAAGGGATTTCACATGAGTCTGGAGATGAAAGGGCCAGCATCTTCCAGAAAGCTTACTGACTACTTTGGGGTCAACCTCCAAGGAGCAAGACAGTAAATATGGTAATTTCAAAATGTAGTAATCATCACACAACACCTGCTTCCTCTACTACAGACTTCCTGCTTTGAGAACAATTACCTTGATGCTCCCTGTTTGTCAAGAGTCCAAGTTCTGTAAACACTCAAAAGAGGAGACTCCTCGCCCCTTGTCTTTCCTCAACTTTCTTTGAGCTGAAGAGATGTAGCAGAATTCTGGTCTTCAAATTCTGAAGTTCTCCATCATTTGGTACTCCACCCGAAAGAAGGGATGTGTTATTACCACCAATATCGACCTTGTTAAATAAATCCAAACCCCAACCAAGCTCCCTGGGGCAGAACATCTCTGGATGGACAGAGGGAACCACATGTGCCCACGGCTCTGTGAGGGCACTGGGGCAGCCCGGGACATAGGGGGACAACCTCCAGCAGCCACCTGCCTCCAGTTCACCAGCTTGACTCCCTTTCCACCTCAAGATGGAGGAGGAGGAGGAGGACAGAACATTTGACTACTTTCAGTATGTATTTTTTTAAACAGCCTATGCTCTGCTTTGTTGAAACACACTCTTCTATGTCATTAGGATGCTGAGTTCTCTGAATAGTGTTATAACTAAAGCTGTAGAAAGACAGGCTACCCGGCACCTTGCTGAGAAATGGGCTTTCCATTCCAGGTCGAGTTCCAGAAGAGAAAAGGAAGTGGCGAGTTAGACATTTTCCTTCCTCCAAAGTTCAAGGAGCGAGGAACACAGGTGTTTCATATACGCTTCTGCCATGTAAATCCTTCTCTACTTTGATTATCAGAGTCTTGTCTACTAACACTATTAAAAGCCCTGAAAGAGGGATAGACTTTCTGGTAAAATAAATCCAAAGGTATTCTTTTAATGAGCTGTTTGTTTTCTAGGTGGCGGGGCGGCAGACACTCATGCAGAGAAATATGCGGGCTGTGGATACCAACATCAGCTGGGAAACAAGGCACGGAATGACGTGCCTTGGGTCTCAAGTTCTCGACTTGTACTTTCACTGTTTTTCTTACAAACAATGGCTGCCTCTCATGTGTAGAAATAGCTCTTTGCTTATCTGAGTGTTTCCTTAACGTCCAGTCTCACAGTCGTATCTCACGCTTCTGCTATTGCTGACACTGAGTTTCTCCTGGGAAACCGGGCAGAAATTGCCATAATTTTTTTCTTTTACAGTAAAAAGTAGATAGTATCTTCTTGTTGATTGTTGAAAAAATGTTTGGCAGATAAGTTAGAACAAATACCTGAGAACTTCACATGCTTCTGTGACTCTAAAAAAACCAAAAACTTTTCTCGCCATTTTCTCCATCCTCTCTCCCTTTTTCCTCCTCAATTTCAAAGCATCCTTCCCTCATAACGGCTTAGAACAGTATGGGGATCTCCGAGCTGGCACTCTCTGGTTCATTTCAGAGCAGTGCTAAAATCTCACTTAATTATTTAGAGTTTTCTCATCTGATCTTTGTCAAAATTTAGGATATGTTTTTATATAGGAAAAAAGTGGAAGAATGATGTCTTTGTGTGGCTGCTAGTTTCAAAGGTTTAGTTGACTTAATTCAAGTGGAATCTCCATGTTTTCTCAGTCACATACACATGAATGCACCCCAGTGCACAGTTAAATGACTGACTTTTTCTTGCTAAAACGTTAACACTAAGCTGATGAGTGATAAAAATAAGATCTGCAGGGTATATACCGAGAAAAAAAAGTTGTGGGGAGGAATATAGATTTATTTATTTAAACCTTGAGGTAAAAAGATCAAAGATTCAGGTCTGAAGGGCAAAGATAAATTTAAAACCTCAAGAAAGGACAGACAAGGCAGGCAGAGAAGAGTCACTGGTAAATGTAATTCAGAACAGCGTCTGCAGAGGCAGAAGCTACAAACTTCTCCTTTGCCAGTTTGGAGGTGCACTTAATTTGAGTGGCTTTTTCTTTTGATTTTAATTTGCAGGCCAGTGCCTTTCCTGAATACCAGCGCCTGCATGGGGAACTCCCTCTGGTTTACTCACAGTGATGCCTGAAGAGCCCCCAGATGTAGAGAGCTCCAAAAGAATTCAACATAAACTGCAGGCTAGAACCTAACATCCACAGGCTGTGCATGGTAGGAAGAAAATTGTGCTTCGCATCTTTCACAGCTGGAACTTTTTTTAATTCCTTGGGGAGAAAAAAACCTCAAGCCCTGGAGATGCAGAGGGAAATTTGCAGACGCTGCCTTTGCTGAGTTCCTGGAGGTAGAGGTCACTGCTGGTGGGGCGGGGTGGGGTGGTGAAGGGGAGGGCAGGCCAAGAGGCAGGCCACTGGGTGAGGATGGTGCTTCCTCTGCATTCTGGGCTCTGCGTCTTCCCCCTTTAAGTCAGTGTGGAAGGTGCAGAGGTTATTGGAAGATATTGAAAAATTTAGTACTAACTTTGAAATAGCATCCCCAACACTTGGCTGTTTCAAAAGTGGCTACATTTTAACATACAGTTAGTTAGATGTTCCTCCAGGAAAGATTTTTGCCTTAAGTTAGGAATGATCTCATCTGTCAGGGAAACCAGGTTTTAAGATGTTAGTACCAACTGATGCTTCTTCAGAAGGTAAATGTCATAGAAAGTTTAATTATAAAATAACTCAGAGTAACTTCAACATACTTTCTATTTGATCCCACAGTACAAATGAATGTCTCTCCTCCCCATGACCTCCTACTTAGGAAGGGGAGTGTGGGCCTAATTCCAGGGGTGTCCCCCTCTCCTTCCCCGCTCCTCCTGCCTTGAGAAATGGCACAGCCTTAAGTGTCCTGTCCTGATGGCGCCTTGTTACCGGCAGTGAACTCTGAAATAAAGCCCCAAGATTAATATTCTTATTTCTGCTGCAACAGTCAGTCACCAGAGGCTTTATTTAAGAGGCTCAGTGGCCAAATTTGAAATACAAAAAGAAATTGCCAATGCTTGGAGAATAAACTCTACCTCCATTTCAGGAGACAGTGTTGCAATTATTTTACTATTGATTTGAATGTATTAGGAATTTTTAACTTTAGAGAAAGAGTAAAAATAAATTGTTAACCTCATTATATTAGTTTTTCTTTGTATCTTTCTACCAGCATCATCTAAAGCCACCACAATCCTGTTACTACTATACTAAATGGATGAAATTGCATTTAATCATTTCACTAGAAAAAAATAACACTGTTCTATCTAAGCTTTTAGTGCCCATTTTTACCCCCTCCTTGGCCCAGGGGAAAAAACAGACTTTATAAAACTAAAAATTACTAGAAAAGTATCTCCATCTAGTTAGAAAACAGGTTTCAGAAAGAAACGCAGGCACTTCACCACCTGCTCTTGAAGGCTTCTGCTTCCGGGCTCTAACTGCATGTAGTCAGTGTGCTGGGATCTCGACATTGTTCCCCCAGGGCCTGATTTTAAGTGGGTGGAGATCATTGCTCAGCAAGAAAAAAGCACGCTGAGTCCACATGGCCTAAAAGTTCTCCTCACGTCTGGAAACTACTCAGCCAGCACCTGTGGTTTCCCGTGTATTTGCACAGGAACTTGCCTGCAGTGCTTCCTCACTGGGGATGGCACACTGGTTATCTGAGCAGATAAGAAGGAGAACCCGTGAGCCAAGCAGCCTGAAAAGGCAAGGATATTTTCTGGCTGTGAGTTTTAGACGGGGCCAATGGAGAGGAAGTCATGCTGCATTGTGACATGTCTTCATCCAGCTGTGGTTGCTCTGCACCCCAAGGAGAGGGGGCGGGGGGACCTGGCTGTTTTTACTTCAGTCTATCACTTGGGCAGAGTTGTGCTAATCAGATGAAGAATTCACCTGCCGGACCTGTGCAGACAGATGGGTCCCCTGCACAAAGAGTGAGGGCAGCACAAAAAAGTCTACAGAACAAGAGCATGACTGTGAAGGAGAACTCAGGTTATCATGGAAAGCACGGAACACCAGCTTATACTCCTGCTCCAGAGAACTGAGTAAAATACTCAAGCAAGTTTATCTTAATTGAAGTAGAGTTGATTTACAATGCTGTGTTTGTTTCTGGTGTACAGCGTAGTGATTCAGTTATACGTATACATGCATATATTCATTTTCATTATAGGTTATTACAAGATATTGAATAGAGTTCCCTGTGCTATACAGTAGGACATTGCTGTTTATCTATTTTATATATATTGTAGTTAGTATCTACAAATCTCAAAACTGAAAAAAAAAAAAGACACACTTATTTACAAAACAGAAACAAACTATTTTAAGATGCGACTTACTGGGATGGGGTCAGGACGGGGCCGGGACAGGGTGGGGAACTGATGGACACTCAAAAGCAAATATTTTTTATCAACTTCATCAAGGAGGTCCACCAAAGAGACACAGACAATACTGAGCATACAGAGTCAGGAAAACCAGAGAGTTCAGCTTTCTCGTAAGAGTAAGAACCTTGTCTTCCTATAAAGCAGCCCATGGTGTAATTTGCTCTTATTTGATTATGAAACAAAGAGCATTTTATGAAAACCCTCTATCAGCAGCATCCTCCTAGAGCTGTTCTCTTCCTCCAGGTCACCATCCACTGGCCCTGCTAATTGTGATTTCTCAGGCCAGTGTTTCTACACATCAGTCTCTGGAAACTCAATTCAGAGCTCAAAAGCGTATAACCTGGCATACTGTGGAGCCA